TTTTTACATGGAACTTGGTATTAATGCTATTCAACACAAATAATGAAACACGTATTTGAGCATTTTCCGAGATTCAACCCCTAAGGGAGTGAAAAGTGATGGCTAACTTTATATGGGAAAACTATTTCTATTGAAAGTTTTTGACGTGGAATTTAGTATTAATGCATAATGAAACACGGATTTAAGTATTTTCCGAGATTCAACCCCCTAAGGGGGTGAAAAGTACTGGTTAAGTTGGTATGGGAAAGTATTTCTATTGTAAATTTAAATTTTTACGTGAAACTTGATATTAAATTAATACTCTTCAATACAAAGAATGAAACCCGCATTTAAGAATTTTCCAAGATTCGACCCCTAAGGGAGTGAAATGTGGAGGCTAAGTTTGTATGGGGAAAATATTTGTATTGTAAATTTAAATTTTTACGTGAAACTTGGTATTAATGCTCTTTAATACAAATAATGAAACACGTATTTAAGCATTTTCCGAGATTCAACCCCAAAGGGGGTGAAAGGTGGTGGCGAAGTTTGTATGGGAAAAATATTTCTACTGTAAATTTGAATTTTTACGGAGAACTTGATATTAATACTCTTCAACACAAATAATGAGACACGTATTTCAAATTGTTTCGAGATTCCACCCCTAAGAAGATGACAGGAGGTGACAAAGTCTGTATGAGCAAGAATATTTTTATGTCGATTTTTACTGTTAATTGTATTAATGCCCTTTAACACATTTTTTACTTGAAGGTTAATAATAATGATCTTCAACACAACGAATCGTCTACGCGAGCGATGCCGCGGGCGAAAAGCTAGTATTCATACATACATATATAATACCATAAGAGCTATTCATTTGCGCGATTAAGTTAAGAGGACCCGGGTGGGTTAGGTAGCTTCGTGCTTGCCCGCTACACCTTGGGTCGTGGGTTCGATTCCCGCCCGGCTCTGGGTGTTGTGTATGTCCCCCGTTCCCCTGTAATTGGGCCATCGGCCTGTAGGGGAACGTAATGAAATAAAATAAAAAAAAAGAGGTTGCCTGAGAACATGTTGCCTAGGAAAATATCACGAGCGCAAACACCGACACTGATTCGATTTAAAACCCGAAAACAAAGCTTGGGGGCTTTAAGAGGCAGTGGAGGTGTTTGCGTGAGGGATATTTTCCTATGCAACATGTTTGAAAGTAACCTTGCAAATTTAATCGCGTAAATGAATAGTTTGAATGGTATTCGGATGATTAATGCATAAAACTGCAACATCTTAACAACTTTGAGATACTGTCAAAATCAATTTAATGTCCAACAATCAGACCGCAATGTTTCAAAAAAATGTTTAACTCAAAAGTTGGCGGAATGTATGTAACTAACGTAACTTACTTAGTATAAACAAAACAAAAAATAAATTAAAAATTATAGGAAGTGTAAAGGCAGCCACACACAGAGAGGGAAGACTGTGCAGTTAAAAGTGTGCACGCTTGTCGTAAGTTATTAAACCCGTACTCTCTAAACGCCGCAACTAGATTTAAACTCAAGCGTGCAGCGACTTGTGTCCACACACTGAGTTTTCCCGGCACAGTTATAACTGTGCACGCTAAAAATCAAGCCAATTTTGATTCCAACAGACTTGACTGCACATGCCACATTCTTCCCCACACACTAGCACTTTTAACTGTACCCCGTGGCACGTACATTCAAGTCTTGACTCTTCCCTCTGCGTGTGTGGCCGCCTTAATGAAAAGTTTATTGAAAATGAATTCGAAAGTTCCACATCGATTTGGAAGTGTTTCCGGGGAAGATATTCGGAAATTGCTAAAATATATGACGAAAATACGCCTGATGGACTTCAACGTAAGTTTTACCAAGTAGCCGCATTTGAATTGGCTTGGAGAGGCGAAGTGGCAGGATGTCTTGTAGAACATTTTAAAGAAGAGACCCAAAATGACGGAACTTTAAGCAGTGCGTAATAATTTTATTGACAAGTTTCGTATTTAATAAAATTTTGGGTTGTAGATAGGCTGCAATATAATCCAATCTTCGGCAAGACAACGCAGGGTGGTGCTCACAAACTCGCGGAGGATAAATGGTTGGTACCTAACCATATCGATGAAGATCTATGCCCTGTCCGTCTATTCAGAAAGTTGATGTCCAAAAGAACTGACAGAATCACTACGTCAAGGCTTTGTTGACAGTTAATCCGAATTGGACAACTTCGAGTGATTGGTTTAAAAATATGGCCCTTGGGAAGATGCAGAAGGAATAGGCCTCAATGTAAAGAGAAAAAAAAATACCAATCACTCGAATCGAGCAGCGGCTGTGACTCATGCTCAGTTGGCAAAAACGGGTATCGGCGAACAGCAACTTATCAAATTAACAGGACGCAGCCCTACAAATTTCTTAAAATCTTATTTACAAATTGATGATGAACATCATATGGAACTAATGGAGCAGATGAGAAGTGACGAAAGGGTTTCGCGTTCGAGTTTAACAATTTCTTAAAATAAGGCTAAAGGCAGTGGAGTAACATATAATAACTGTACTTTTTATTTCAATTGTCAAAATAAAAATTAACTATTCTGTTCTAACATTACTGTGAATCTAGTGATTAAACACATCCTTACCTGAGCTGAATAAACACCAACTTGATATTTATTCAGTTAGTCCGGTCAAATTAGACATTCGGTGCTACATAAATTCGCAACAAGCTGAATTTTGGTACACTTGTTCAAAATATAATTATAAACAAAACCTGAAAGTTCCCCATCATTCCCGTGTATGGGAAAAATTTTATTCAAGGTCAAATGTCAAAAAAACGAGTTTCGCGATTTTCAGCAAAACGGTAAGTTTTATCATAAAAATACTTCAGACTAAAATTATAGATCATAAAATTATCTATAAAAAATGTATTTATACTTTTTTTCCTACGAGCCACCGTTTCCGAGATATAGCGGTGCAAAAATTTGTAATAGTTGTAATCGTCGTAACATGCATGAGTACGCCACGTATATTCATCTCTAGAGTTGTAATATTATATAGTATAGGGTAAAATACTACATACATTACTTCAGCTTGCTTTAGCAATTACAAATGCTTCCTTATTTTCACGCGTCTGGACATTTTCGTTATGCTAAGTATTGCAGGATATGCAACAATTACAAAATTTGATTGATTCTGAAGTTTACGCAAAATTTTCGGAAGGATTTTTCACAGACGTTCAGACAAATTAAGTTGTAGAACTTCAACAGACATGGTAATCGAACAGTCTATGATGAAAGCTATGAAGACAGATGGAGGTTTTGCGTAAACTTCAGGATCAATCAAATTTTGTAATTGTTGCATATCCTACAAGTAAATGTGTGCAGGCTTAGCATAAGGAAAATGTCCAGACGCGTGAAAATAAGGAAGCATTTCTTTGAAGCAGTTCAAATGAGCTTCCCAATCTCCCATACGCTCAGCTCTTAGGAACTCTTTAGCAATCGAAACCATATAAAAATATTGAATCCAAAGTTTTGCAGTTGGTCCTCTTTCCTCATATTCTTTTAGTTTTTGATTTAATCTGTTAAGTAAAGCTCCAAAACTTCATCATCATTTTCTATATCATTGTATGAAAAAGTGTTTTCTAATATACGCTCGATATTTATGATTAGATCTGCATTCAAGATGTCATCAATTTCAACGTCTTTTAATATTGTAATTGCTAAAGCAAGCTGAATTAGTGTATGTAGTATTTTACCCGATACTATATAATATTACAACTCTAGAGATGAATATACGTGGCGTACTCATGCATGTTATGACGATTACAACTGTTACAACTTTTTGCACCGCTATATCTCGGAGACGGTGGCTCGTAGGAAAAAAAGTATAAATACATTTATTATAGATAATTTTATGATCTATAATTTTAGTCTGATGTATTTTTATGATAAAACTTACCGTTTTGCTGAAAATCGCGAAAAACTCATTTTTTTGACATTTGACCTTGAATAAATTTTTTTCCATACACGGGAATGATGGGGAACCTTCAGGTTTTGTTTATAATTGCATTTTGAACAATTGTACCAAAATTCAGCTTGTTGCGAATTTATGTAATTTCACCCCAATTTTTTGGTCTAATTTGACCGGACTAAGTGTAATACTGTTGCTATTGCTTAAAATAAAAATTTTCATGCATTTTGATTGGTTGTATGTATTAATCAAACTCATATACCCGGTTTTTTTAACGTATTTACCATCACTCATCAAAGTCATTAATTTACCACTTACTAGTAATTAATCTGTTTACAACAAACTACGCTTACTTTGATGGGATCTTCTGCCACGTTGATCAGCTGTTGACTCGGCAAGTACGTACAGCAGGAAGGGGCGCAGATTTTTTTTGGGTAACTAACACAAAATAGAAGGCTTTCAATCTCCATTGATGGACGTAAAATGTCAGATTTTCTTATTAATTGTCAAAATATACTTCACGGCCGCATTCCCGCATTTACTGCACTTACTCATCTGTCACGCCAGTCGGCTATGCCTCGGCCACAAACTTCAGATCAGCCAAAAGTGATCTCCTTCACGTCCTAGATACACAAATTACTATTCTTGTAGTTTATAAACTAAAGTAATAAACTAAAACAAAAAAATGCAATGCCGTCTAATGAAAACCTTCTTATTTAAAAAAGTTTTCTTTGCACGGCATGGGAATGTGCGAAGTAGAAGCGGCCAGGGTTATTATAAGTTTCATTTAAGACGGACAATTTTCGCGCCATTTGAAAGCCCCATATGCCATCTCAATGTGGCACCTAATGCAGCAACCTTATCTATGAAATGACTTTGCCTTAAAATAACTTATCAGGTGAATCAATTAGATTTATTAAATAGAAGTAATAAATAAAAATTAACTTGTAGTTGGTGTTTTTCTCATTGCATGTAAAGTAGCAGACAATGAGAAGGTCACCTCATTTTGTGTTTATATTTTTATATTTAATATAATTAGAAGTAATATTTTACTTACAGAATTCCAATGGCCAACAGTCAAGTACTTTTGTCAGCTACAGAGAAATATGAATTAATTTCCCGGAATTTACAAGAGGTGTTGGGGGAACATAAAATAAAATCCATATTAAAGCAGAGAGATTTAAAAATATATTGGGGCACAGCAACAACTGGAAAACCGCATGTAGCTTATTTCGTGCCTATGTCTAAAATTGCAGACTTTTTGCGGACTGGTGCAAGTGTTACTATTCTTTTTGCAGATTTACATGCCTATTTAGACAATATGAAAGCCCCTTGGGAACTTCTTTCTTTACGAGTAACATACTATGAACACTGCATCAAAGCAATGCTTAAATCAATTGGTGTGCCATTAGAAAAGCTTCACTTTGAAAAGGGAACAAATTACCAGTTGTCCAAACAGTATACACTTGATGTTTATAAACTAAGTTCGATTATCACTGAACATGATGCAAAGAAAGCAGGAGCAGAAGTTGTAAAGCAAGTAGATCATCCGCTGGTTAGTGGGTTGTTATATCCAGGTACGTTTACATTTATACTTCCCGAGCGTAAGCTGAGGAAGTATTGTTGTAATAGGGGATACCTGACAATTGGCCACTTTGATATCTCCGAAAGTATCAGACCAATTGTTGTCAAATTTTAAATGTTCGTTAGGAATATCGCCCGATTACTGTTCTTCCTTAGCTTACGCTTAGAAAGTAAGATCCACGTTTTTAACATTCTGTTGCTAGTAAGAATATATCAACTTCGCAGGTTTTTTTCTTAAAATATTAATCATCATTTATTTTTATTTAGGACTGCAGGCTCTAGATGAAGAATATTTAAAAGTTGATGCCCAGTTTGGCGGAATTGATCAAAGAAAGATATTCACTTTCGCTGAAAAATATTTACCTCAATTGGGGTACGAGAAGAGAGCACACTTAATGAATCCAATGGGTGAGTAGTAATCTAATTTAAAGTTTCATTAATGAAGATAATATTTGACGTTATCCTTTAAATAGTTCCCGGTTTAACTGGTGGAAAAATGTCGTCCTCAGAAGATGAAAGTAAAATAGACTTATTGGACAGTCCTTCTGCTGTCAGACAGAAGTTAAAGAAAGCATTTTGTGAACCTGGGAACATTGAAAATAATGGAATTTTATCATTTGCAAAACATGTTATCTTTCCATTACTTAAAACTGACGAAAACTTTATCATTACACGCAAGGAAGCCAATGGCGGAGATGTCAGTTTCGAGTCGTACGAGAAACTAGAAAATGCATTTGCAAGTCAAAAATTACATCCAGGTGATTTAAAAACAAGCATGGAAGTGTACATAAATAAATTGTTGGATCCGATTAGAAAAACTTTTGAAGATCCATGCCTAAAAGAGTTATCCGAAAAAGCATATCCTCCAAAAAAGAAAGATGCCGAGGAAATTAAACCACATTGTTTAGATATTAGAGTGGGCAAAATCGTTGACGTAGAAAAACATCCCAACGCAGAAAATCTGTATGTCAGCAAAGTAGATATCGGAGAAGAATCACTTAGGACCATCGTCAGCGGTCTTGTGCATTTTTATTCAGTAGACGAATTGCAAAATCGCATGGTTGTAGTTCTTTGTAATTTGAAACCTATAAAAATGAAGAGTATTGAATCAGCAGGAATGATTTTATGTGCTTCAAAGTAAGTTTCGTAAATTAAATCATTATTATAAGATTCAATAAAAAGTAAATTAGCGTTCGTAAATTTGCTATTTGTTGTATATAGTACAGTTCTACATTAACAACACAAAGTGATTCTTTCTATATCTATCTATCTATCTATCTATCTATCTATGGATACTATACTACCTTTTCAGAACATACATTCCACAAAATGCCAAATGCGAAATTTTTCATGGTGGCCGGTTTTTTTGCCGGTCAGTGTAGATGTTGAATGAATTAATACTGTGATCGTTTTGTGTTTTGTTATATTTTTTTCATTACAATGTGTTGCTAGTTTGCTCTTGTCTTAAATTTATTAACACGCAAGCCAAAATATTTGATATGGAGTAGCAGTGCAACAGTCTCGTTAAGTCAAAATTTCTTGTTTTCTATAACGAGTAGAGGGGTCTACTCTAAAGGAATAAAAATACGATTAATAATAGGTTGACAATACGACTATAATGTATTTCGAAGCCTTTGGTATTTAAGATACAAATAATATATAAAAACTTGGGAATTTTAAATCATCATTACTCAAAACACGCTGGTTTTGAGTTACGTGAGTATTGCTCTCACAGTGCGAATTGTCTTTCTTAATTTTAGGTTTTAAGGAAATTAGCGGTGAACTCTAGCTGGTTAAGAATCTTTAACATTATGCAAACGCAGTGTTTATAATGATTGAATTTCTAGGGACGAACCTAGGCAAGTTGAAATTTTAATACCACCTGAGAATGCTGTTCCTGGAGAAAAATTAATTTTTGAAAGCCACGAAAACGGAGAGCCAGAACCTGTTTTAAACACAAAAAAGAAGGTTTGGGAAAAACTGCAAGCCGATTTTAGAGTTAATGGTGATTGTATTGCACAGTGGAAAAATTACAATTTAGTTACAAAAGCTGGAGATGTAGTGCAGTGCAAATCTTTAATTTATAGTTTTGTCAGATAATAAATGGACCACTAACAAAGAACGATTATCATAAATTTTTTTGTACGACCCAGCGTGAGGGCGCCTAGCAGCGGTAGGCTGCGTCTGCTCGTGAAGATCTATTTGCCGTAACCACAGCCACAGCACGCGCCACGGGTTTTAATCACGTGCATTCCTGAGGCTTATTTATTTACATGTGGTAAAATTATGCCAAACTGTATCAACAGCAGTGGCGTAAATAGCACCCCCGCAGACCCCGCGATGCGGGGGAGCGCAGCGCCGAAAGGGGCGCAGACCGTAACGTTACCGATATATTTTTTTAAAATGTGCAATTTCCAAAGAAAGGGTTTTTATTGGAATTGAAAATGAGATCAGGTAAATTAAAATAATTTATTGTTATCGGATACACTGATATCATTTGTTTTTACTTTTGCTTTATTTGAATGGACTTCTTTCTGCTTTGTTAATAATAAGTATCAAACGTGTTGTGGCGGCGGGCTGCGGGTTTTGTTTGCTTTTGTGTGCAGAAGCCGCCGCCGCTTGTAAGGAAATTCACTAATTTTAATTTACCATTCGATCACGAGGCTTCAGATTAAGAGGAAAATAATACTTAATCGTAATAAGTAAAACGAGTGACATCAAAATCTCAATTTCTTACAAACTATTTTAACTCACAACCTGACTTAAGTGTGTACATTATGTCGTGTTATTGGTTAGTGGACAAAGACTTCGAATTTCGATTTTTAAATAATTTGCACGTTTATTTTTTTCTACATCAAATCAAAATGTTTAAAAAAACGTCCCAGTGGTGCTGAATATAGAAAAGAAAGCAGCCAAGAGAAGAAAAAACTAGTAAGTTACCGAAAATCGTTTCTTTTTTTAAAACAAATGAAGGTGCTAGCACTTCTAAAGCTGAGGAAAGTTTAATCTCTGACCGTCCGAGGGAGGGGGAGGAAACACCAAAAGAAACTGATAATAACGGTAGAGATTTTTCTTTTAATTTTTCAATGAAAGACAATGATGACAATGAAAAAAATTTTTCTAACGAAAATTTGTCTCAAAATTCTTGCATAGTTACTACAGATATAGATTTTTATAAAAAGATTGTACTCGATAATGACACAAAAATGCATATTGTATCTTGTACACCATGTAAACCGCAAGATCCATTTCCAAAAGATCCTATAACTAACAGATCTTTTAATTCGGATTACTTTTTTACTAAAGCAAAATCTGGTCAAAAGTTGGAGAGATTTTGGTTATGTTTTTCCAAGATATTTGGTGGTGTCTATTGTGAAGCATGTTGGCTTTTTGCAGATAGATCTGATAAATTTTATCAAGATAGCTGGTGCAAGGGGACTTTAAATGACTGGCAAGGTCTCAGCAAAAAAATTAAGGACCATGAAATGAGTAATATTCATACAAGAGCTTGCCTTACGTATAGTCTTTGGAAAAAACAAAAAGGCCTTCCATCATTATTTCAGCCAGAAATTGCAAAGTGGCATGAAATTTTAAAAAGAATTTTGGATGTAGTTGTGACTTTAGGAGTGTGTAACGTCGCCTTTCGTGGCCATCGTGAAAATATTAAACAAATTGACAATAAATCTGGAAAGTTTTTAAATATTATTTCACTATTATCTAGATACGATCCTGTATTGAAAAACCATTTAGAAAATGAAGAAATTAAATCAAAATATTTAAGTCCACAAATTCAAAACGAATTAATTACTTTAGCTGCCAAACATGTCTTAGAAAGTATTGCACAAGAAGTTAAAAAATCACTGTTTTTCTCTTTAATTTTGGACACAACTCAAGACATTGCCAAAATCGATCAGATATATGTCAATAACTATTAGATATGTCACTGTAGTTCCGGATACCAATATTAATATATGTACATGAGTCATTTCTCGGATTTATTCCAATAACAAAACAAAAACTAAAAGATTTAGAAATAAAAGTAACCAAATTTTTAGATTCTATGTCGATATCACTAAAGAAATGCAGAGATCAAGGATATGACGGAGCTGCAGTGATGAGTGGCAAGTACATACCAAGGACTACAAAAAAGAATTAAGGAAAAACATCATTACGCCGAATATGTTCATTGCGCTACACATAACCTCAATTTAGTGCTTAATGATTCTGTTAAGAATGTACCAGGAATTTCCACATTTTATGATTTAATAAATGCCAGATATGTCTATTTTAGTGTGGTGAGAGTTTACCGAGATGGCAACAACTTAACTTTGAGATGAAAGAAAATGATAAGTGTGTTATAAAAAAAACTTTCAAAAAGTTATGCCCCACCAGATGACGCGCGAAATTTGAACTCAGTTCATAACACGAGACCCGTATTTCAGTTCCGCGTGTAATCCTTATGGGTGAAATCGAGCCGTCATTTTAACACTTAAATTCTACCATTAAAGTAATTTTCTTATATATCTCACTACTTGTACCATGAAGACTGATATTTTTACTGTTGATCTTGACACCAAACATGAACGGAACCGGTGGTATTTAATAAATATTTAAATTCAACTTTTACCACTACGTGCCACTACATTTGCCTCGGACGTATGTCGTACAGTGGTTCATACTGCCATTGAGTTCCCCCTCCACATAAATGGCTTTGATTTTCACATGCTACAGATACGGTTGTGAATTTAAAATTATACATAAAGGAGATCTCATATTTGCAAATGTTTTCAATCAATTGCCAAATTTTGATTTAAGAATCATCATCAATCCCAAGCTTTTTTCTTTTCACACATTTTTGCCAGAAAAGGAAAAACTTGGCATTCCTGATTAATAAACCTTTCATGTACAAGTAAAAATCACTTTCATTTTAGTACGAATTGGGTCTGAAACACCAATTTAAAAAAAATTACAATTTAAAGAACAATTTATTTCAAAACAAAAAAAAATATTCTACAATAAAAAATTGCACTTCCTAATGCAAAATCTGATTCACTTTTGGTGGAAAATTGGCCCACAAACTGTCGTCTTGATGGTCCATTTAAATAGTCCTCAGACACTAATAGTTCTTCGACACTGTGAAGTAGATTTTCTTGAGATCTTTCTGGTTTAGAGCCCAATAGCCAATAGCCAAAGCAGTGCTTCGCTGTGGTGCTTCGCAGTTTGTCGTAAGCTTTCATGAAGTTGTACCTCAACATTAGCTGTTTTTAGGTTGACTTGGGGATTAAAAGAATTTTCAGAGATCACAGCTCTGACCTCAGCTGATTCACTTTTCTTCAGATGTACGTCCCAAGAACGCAAATTATTGGTCCAAAATACATACATTATAACGTCCGTGTAGGGCAGGTCTAGCCATATGGTGACATACAAATGCACCTCTTGGGGTTTCAGATGTTGCCTCTCTTAAGGAATATCTATGCATAATAAAACAAAATACCTCATAATTGTACTTGATACAGAACTTTTATCAATATACATTAATTTACCATAACCTTATACCTGGTTATTTCGCATTCTAGCTCGAATAAACTCTTCAAGCACATTTAATTTAATTCAGGGTCAAATTTTACAAAGAGCACTTCTCGATTTCGCACAAACTGTTTGCACAGAACTCTTCTACAGGACCCCCTGATTACGTTCCTAACCTTCAAAAGTTGTGGAAATGCTTCGTTGTGTCAGAAAAAAATATTTAGTGTTCACCCTATGGTTTGCACCCATAGAAATAATATTATATGGGAGTAACTTAGAGAGAGACGCGCGTTGTCAACACAGTGGGACAGAGATAGGGCTCTCTGGGTGGCAAAACATTGACGCGAAACTGCAGAGCACTGCGTTTCTAGAGGTTTCTTTCGTGCTGTCGCATGGTGTTTGAAGGTGTATTTTTGCAAATTTACGGTTTTTAGGCTCAGGTTACCTTATTTAAATGTCTAGAGTCTTCTTAAGTTGGATTTTATTGGACTATTTGTTAAACATCGTGAAATTGTGTTGTGCGTATAATTGAATAGAACGTGCAAAGAAAGCAATCCTGTTTCATTTCTGAGGTAATAATCACATACACAGACGAAGGATTTCGTAAATAATTTAAAAAATTTGTTAGATTCCCTAAACATTCCGAGTTACGAAAAAAACAGATTATTGCTACATAGGTAAAAAGAGGGAATTTTATATCTATTGATTATTGCTTTAGTTATTTGTACGTGGATTTAGAAAATAGATTTTAGTAGAAAATTCCACACAATTTAATATCTTTAATTTAATTAGGCACCCTGTCACTTTTATCTAAAGTTTAATTACTTTGTAACGGGCGATAAATTTACTTATTTTTGGAGATGTTGGTATGAATCAGAACAATCGTCATTGTCGTAAAAATCAAGGTTGTCCTTGTGAAACTTGGATTTTATGATTTCACACCATTCTAATCAAGGTTTATAATTTCACAGTTAAATATTGGCGCCGTTTGGCTGGACACGATGTCTTTGTCCAGTTTTATAATTTCATGGTTTAAATTTGTTAATTTTAACAAAAAGCACATTTTGCCACTAAAAATCTTCATATTACAGTTAATTAAGCCTAATTTGGTGGAAACACAAATACTTTTACGACTCCCCAAATAAACTGGTAACTTGTAAACAATTTTGCGAAAACAACTCCTTTGGAGGGGTCTTTACTTATAAAAGTTCGAAAGATCCAAAAACGATCAGAGTCCTCTAGCCAGTTGCCTGTTAGTGTGTGTTTGTGTTGTGACACAAGGGGGTAAGTGTTGACATCTCCAAAAATGTGCACGATTTCATAAAAAGTTCAAAGTTTTGTTTTTATTAATATTTTTAAAGTTCAATTTAATTTTGATGATAAATCGCCCTTTGTATTCTCGATTGGATAACGTTTTGAGATTTAGATCTATTTTTAAAGAGTAGTTTGCATTGAAATTATTAGTTAAACAGTTATATTGTTTGATGAACGCTGACCACGCAACTACTATAATGTTCCTTACCAAATTTTAGAGTTGTTACAAATTTTTGAGTTGTTACCAAATTTTTGAGTTGTTACAAATGTTTGAGTTGTTAC